TAACAAACTTTCTTAACAACTAAAAAAAAAAAAAAAAAAGAAGAGGACACCGAGAGCCCTGAGCGCTGGGGAGGCAACGTGGCTTGGCTCGGAGTGGGCAGCCGGAGGAGCAGTGGAGGAGGAGAGGGGCGGGTGGAGGGGTGGGCGCCACACAGTGTGCCCGGGATGGATGAATGATGCCCCGCCCACCCCGGCTGCTGGTGGAGTGGCCACATGTCTCAGGAGCCCTGCTCCGGTCACCTCCCAGGAAGGACCCCGGCCGCTCCTTCCCCTAAGGGTCTGAACCTGTGGGACCCGCTCCACATGCTTTGTGTGCACAGCCCGTGCTGCCACCCTGAGCCAGAGCTGCCAGGGACAGAAAGGTCTCCTGAGCCCAGCCACCCCTCGGCCTGTCCTGGGACTCTGGACTGGGCATCGTGCAACAGAAAATGAGTAGACCTGATGCCATGTGACAACGGGCTCTGTGTTGCTGGTGTGTAAAGTGGGGCTCCCAGTGTTGGCACAGAGGCTGAGCAAGCACACGACAGGCGGCAGGAGCCGCTGCAGCCTGGCCTGGCCCCTGAGGCTTGGCTGCACTGGCAGCACGGTGCTTTGGGCTTGTGAGCTTCCTCCGGGGATGAGTACACACCCACCAGCCTGGGCATCCATCCGTCCATGTGCCCTGCAGGATTTGAGCCCCTCAGGCCCTGGCCCAGAACGGATTTCGTGCATTCTGTGGATACTGACAGAACCTAGATCCTGGACAGTGAGCGGCTGTGTGGCTTTCTCTGCGGATGCTCACGTCCTGCCCGTGTCCTCCCACCACGTTCCCAGGAAGCCCGGAGGGAGGCCACCTCCCCGTTCTGACAGCAGTGCTGACGACAAACTGAAGCCACAAGGTTAGGAGGTGGCAGAGCCAGCACCGGACGGCTCTTCCAGTGGGCAAAGGGCCGTGAATCCTGTCTTGGCTGCTTTCCCCTCCTGCGGCTGTAGGGGAAGACCTGAGAGACGGGCGGGGTGAGGGAGGCTGGCGTGCGCAGCGCGGGGCTGGTGGGGTCACGCTCTTTGGGGACCCTCCCTGTGTGCAGGAGCTGAGTGCTGAGCTAAGGGCGGCTCCTTCTGGCTCCTTCCTGCCTGGCGTGAAAGGAGCTGCAGGCAGTGACAGCCCGGGCTGAGATGGGAGTCCAGAAATGCAAAGGTCACCGGCAGGGAGGCTGGGAGCGCCGCTAGTGAAACCCGAGCTGCCGGCGCCTCTCAGGAGCCCCAGGCCGCCTCTGTCCAGCCGCCTCTGCCCATGTGGAGTGGCGTCCTACCGGCAGGTGAACGGCTGGGACAGGCCTGAAGGACGGGAGCTGCAGCCGTGTTCCTGACACCCTGATAGCCGGACATGCCCCGCACCCCACAGACACAGCTCGGGGCAACGGGGGATGAAAGCGCGCTCCGCATTCCTGGCCAGCCTGCCTCACGGCCACTAAAGCTCCCTCCTCCTGCAGCCAGGGGACAGCTGGGCTCTGCAGCCGTGCTGAATTCCTCGGCGGGTAACCAGGTCACTGGAGCTAAAGGAGGCAGAGCAGCAATGTCTAGAAAGCTGGAAGGCCAGGCCCTGCTGGAGGGAAGCTGGAAGGGGCTGCACCGGGCATCCCGAAGGGACACTGACCTCTGGTGGCTTAAAACACAACAGCAAACCCAGGGAAAGGATTAAAACAAACGTTTATTTAACAAATTATATTAAGAATACAGACAATCACACAGTGAATCTTCCCTTTGCCAAGTATAGAGTCACCTTGAATAAATATGCAGTAAAGGGGCCATTCCTAAGGGCCTTGTCCAGGGCTGGCCCAGCGTGCGGAGCTGGTGCACCCTCAGCCGGGAGACAAAGCTCCATTTCTGGCGGTGATGGCTGCAGCAGTCCCCAGGCCTGCATCTAGAACAGACGAAGAAAGCCGGCTGCCCCGAGGTGCCAGGCTGCCCGAGATGCGGCTGGACATGGGGCAGGGCCGGCTTCGGTCAGGGAGACCGCGGATGCGTCAACGAGCTCTGTTTCCGCGTGGTTCTTAGCAGCTGCGGAATGGGAGTCCCCAGACGTGGCAAGTGACAGGGCCGCCAGCAGCCCGCAGACTGCGGGGCCCTTGGCTATACGAAAGGAGCAGGATGGGGATCCCGACCTGAGCTCAGTGCCCACCGCACAGTGTGACGTGGTGACCGCAGGCATGGTGGCAGCCGGGAAGTCCATCGTGGGACCGGGAGCAGTGGCCAGCCTGAGCTTGTGCTTACAAGAGAACGCTGGCCCTGTGGGCTTCGGGGCCAGATCCTGTCTCTGCCACCTTCCAGCTTGTGCCCATGTGGACCCATCTCAGGTCCCTCATCTGTAAGGAGGGGCAAAGGCACCTGCTGCTGGCTGTTTGTAGGGGGAGCTGCAGGAGAAATGTGCTTAGACTGCCTGGCCTAGCGCCTGGCGGGGGGTGCTCAGCAAGCGTTAGTCCCCGTGTCCAGCCAGTGGCCACAGCTCGTTGCACAAGGAGTGCAGCCACACTCAGCTGCAAGCTGGTATGGCTCTAACCTGCCCTTTCTCCACTGAGCCAGGGCTTCCGTCTCCCCAAGTGGCAGAGGGCGTGAATGGCACAGTTCTCGGACGTGGGGTGAGGAGCAAGGCCTGATGATAAAATTTGCCAGTGAACCTGGAAGACGCCATGGCTCCCTGGCACCTCCGTGCCCTTTCCAAGGCCCTTGAAGGAGACTGAGTTCTCTAGGGGAAGGGTGGGGCTGCTGTGCTCCGGTTAGTCTTTTCAGGAGGACAGTGGGTGCTGGGCAGGGACAATAGCAGCTGGGGGACAAGCCAGAGGGGACCCAGGGGAGAGGCTGTGACCCTTCACATTTCCAACAGAATCCTTGTGCTTCCTTTCCGTGGTGGCCAGAGGGGTGTTGGAGAAAGGGCTCCCCTGGGACTGGAAAGGCTGCTGGATCCTCGATGTGGGCCCCAGCCCCTCCCTGGGCCCTGCGGTCTGCCTGAGCCCACGCAGGAGAGCACGCACAGTCACCCACGGCACGCTTGTCCTCCCCTGCCTCTCCGAAGGCAGGAAGCAGAGGGTCAGGAGCAGCTAAAATCTACCACAGACACCAAGGCGTCCTTAACACTGTCACTGCCTAATGAGCACAATGCTCACAGTCAAGGTTACTCCTAGCCTAAGTCCATAACGTCACAAAGGAGAGGCCTCTCTAGCATGCCGGAGCACACACCGCCCCTCTTCCCGGTGGCCCTGGGCCAGTGTCTGTGGGGCCCTCAAGTGCCCCTTCCTCTCTCCTGCTGCCACCCTCACTCTGCCTTCTGATCACTGATGAGGGATCCCACGCTGCCACCGCTGAGCCCCCCCCCCCCCGGGCCATCGGACTCTGCTCTCCACCTGGGGACTCGAGGACACGGACATGGACATGGACAAAGTGCACAAACCAAGTAAAGGGGCAGGAGTGCCTGGAGCTCCGCCCCCAGCCTCCCCACTGTCCCCAGCCTGCTGGACCTCAGCCCTCTGCTAGGCCTCCAGTTGCGCAGGGTGCTTGGTGTGGGGTCGGCCACACAAAGTCAGCAGCAGACACAGGTGCCCCCGGGACACGCTAGCTTATCTGGGGATGGCACTGGGTTGGGCTTGTCTGCTCTGTCCTGTTAAGCACCAGCCTGCAGTGGGTCCCTTGGGCCTCCAGGCCCTGGCAGGTGAGCTGAGAGCCTGGTGGCATGGGACGGCCCTCCAGGGCGGTAACCTAGGTAGGCCTTGTGGAAGGGGACCAAGCGACCACGTCCCAACACCCAGAAATGAAGAGGTACTGAATGAAAAGGCTGACAGTGGCAGAGGGACCAATCCATAGCGGGGCCCTGGGACAGAGCGCCTGACACTGGTGCGTGAGGTATTTGGGGCCCCCCCAGCTCCTGGCCACCCTGCCGGCCGCTGCATCTTCTCGTTTCTGGGGCGCCTTGGCTACCTATCATCCACGGGCTGTCTGTGAAACCACAGCCAGGGGTCTGAGCCACACCCCGGTCTCTGACTCCCTCCAGGACCCAGGGATGCTAACCACCCACATTCCGAGGGCCCGGACAAACCCCGACAGCCAGTCTCAGCGAAGCAGCACACGGTGAGGTCTGGGCCCTGAGGGAGGCAATGAGCCGTGGTCTCACGGCAGAGGTGGGTTGGACCGGGCACCTCCAATGGATTCTTGCGGAGACATGTTGGCGCTGGCCTGCACCTAGCGGCGTGGGGCAGAGGGCTTTCCGGAGCAACCCGTCCCTGGTGGCACAGGCCGTGGAGATAGCCTGGCTCTGGGAGCAGCAGGGGCCCCTGTGCCTGTGACCCTCCAGGGCCGGGAGCCCTCAGGGCGTGTCCTGTGCTCACTGGGTCAGGGCTCCGGGCTGAGGCAGGTGGAGCCGCTCCTGGCACACGGGTGTTCTGCGGTGAGCCCTTGGAGGGAGCGTGGACAAGCCCGGCGCCCTGGCAGCTGCTCTCACATCCAGGATGGCGCTGGGTCACTCGGCTGTCTCCCCAGAAAGTGAGGTCCACTGTGTGGCCGTGGCAGGGGCCTGCAGTTGTCCGGCCTCTGGATGTGCAGTGTGTGGGCCCGCTGAGATGCCACAGGCGTCCACAGTGGGGCAGGCTTTGGTCCCGGCCGGCTGGCTCCTCCCGCTCCTTGTCTCAGGGCTGCAGTGAGACGCTCGGGCCCCTCGACCCTGTTAGTGAGAGGGACTTGCTCCCTGGCAACCTGGGCCCAAGGGGGTCCCATGGGAGGCAGCCATGCCAAGGGTCTTCCAGGAGGGAACAGTGGCTTTGTGGGGTTCCCGTGGAGGGCGGCGGTCAGGAAGAGAGGAGCCAGCGGGCGTCACGGGAACCTCGGGGGTCACGGGCGGGTGAGGAGTTTCGCAGCACAAGTCCTCCTCACACGGACCGCTGGGCGCTGCGGTCACTATGGCACACACAGGTTAGTTGCGATTATGAACAGCACCCCCAGGAAGGCTGGGGAGCCTTGTCAGGCCGGCTGATGACCACACGTGACCGCTCAGCTGCCCAGGGCCCGATCACTCGGGAGGGCGTGGCCAGCGTGGGAGGGGGCCGGCTGGTGGGAAGGGCAGCAGGAGGTGGGCGGGGAGGGAGCGGCCCGCAGCCCCAGCCGCGTGTCAGTAGTGTGGGCACCAGGTGGAGGCGTCTTCTGCCCGAGGAGGTGGCTGGCGCCTCAGGACTGAGGGATCTGCTGGCACCGGGTGGGGCTGGGCGGGAGCCTGGCAGCAGCGCTCTGCTCTGTGCGGAAGCTGTACTCGTACTGCGGGAGAGAGGGTGGGGACAGAGAGGCAGTCAGTCAGAGAGGATGGCCCGAGGGTCCAGTACAACAGCGGCTGGGGGCTGCCGTTAGGGTGCACTCGGGCGGTGCGCCCAGGCAGAGGGCGATGAACGTGACTGTAGCTGTGTGCACGGGGGACACACCTCGGGGCTGCCGGGCTCAGGGGGGACCACTGATCGCTTTCACTGGGTGAGACCTCAGCACCAGCAAGGCCCAGGCCAGGGCTACCATCGGCATCAGTGGCTGGAGGCTAGAAGCCCCAGACAGCCGCACCAGCAAAGGTTGGCCTCATGCTGCCACCTGGTGGTGTGTTGGGTACATGCAGGCTGCCCACAGCAGCAAACTCTCCCTGGACGCAGGGCCTGAATTCAGCCTGTTCTGGGCACCAGACGACGCATGAGCGCCAGGAAGTTCTTGTTCCCGGGGCTCACAGGGCAGCTGGGAGTGGAGAGGTACTCTCAGCACAGCCCAGCAGAAGTGCCACTTCGGAGGGTGGCTCGAGGGCGTGGAGCCCTGGGAGTAAACAAGGAGGGTTGGGGACCAGTGCCTCTAGAACAGAGAAGGGGGCTGGCAGGGGACAACACTGGAGCAGGGCACAGCAGGTGCACAGGGGCCTGCAGGACAGCACCTGTGCCCGAGGGGACGGTGGTGTGGACAATCAGACCCCAGCCCAGACCCATGCTGGCTGGGGAGGGCACAGGAGCACAGCTCCAGCCAGAGGAATCCGTGACAGGCGCGGAAGCAGAGGCAAAGCCGGGTGGGGTATGTGGGGCCACGCTGCGGGGTGTTTCAGGAAGAGCACCCGGGGCCAGGAAGTGAGAGGACAGCCTGTACCCCGGAGGAGGGCCCTGGGAGTGGGGGAGAGCTGGGGCATGGAGAGGTCCCTATGCGAGGGAGAGGGCAGCGCCGCCCTGGTGAACTCCAGCCCCTGGACCTGCTGAGATGCAGATTTCACGCAGGCTGGGGGGACCTGGTAGGCCTGGGAGCCTGTGTTTTCAACTCCCTCCCACGTAAGTGGACACTGGGGCCGGCACTGGATGTGGCAGTGAGATGGATGGGGTGCGTGGCGAGCAGGGGACCCTGTGATGTCCGGGCTGGTGGGAGGCCGGGGACCGGTGACCCGAGGCCGGGCCGTGGGCAGCAACTCCCAGCTGAGGGCTGCGGCAAGGGCAGCATCAAGGCGGGGCAGCAGGCTGGGGGAGCAGTGGCTGACCAGGCGGAGGTCCTGGGGGCGTCGGGGTGCCAGTCTTTGTGGCGAAGAGCAGGGCTGGGTCATGGGGAAGGCGCAGATGGGCCCTGAAGATGAACTGCTGAATTCCTATCGCACTAGCGCCGGGCCGGGGAGGTGGGGGACATCACAGTCCCTGCCTGCTGCCGCCTGCCCTGCAGCCTGAGCACACGGAGACCCAGGGGGCCAGGCTGTGGGGAGCACACAGACTGCCACGGCCCCCACTCTCCCTTGGGATTTTTTTTCCTTTTTAGGTTATCTTGGCTGCAGAAAAGCACCCCTCTCAGCTCTTGTTTTCCCTAACTCCCCAAATGAAATTTCAACATATGTCCCCCGACATAATCCCCCTTAGGCCGAGGATAACCTTCCCACAGACGCTGTCCTCTGCCCAGGATTGCTCGTCCCCAAAATGTTTGCCCAAGAGACTAGGGCCGCTTCTGGAAGCTCTTTCAGTCCCTCGGGCAAACACTGAGTACCTTTGAAGGTGGATTTGGGCCTGGATCTGTTTACTCAAGACATTAGTCTCCTGCATAAGGAAAACCTGCACTCGACTACAAACAGCAAATCCTTTTTGAATTAAAAAAATTTTCAATTAAAAAGCATTTGGCTCGCAGAGCCCAGTCCAGCTGAGCAGCACCAGGCCGGGCTGCCCTCTGGTGGCTACAGGCTGCCATTGCAGCCACACGGCCACCTAGACCTAGCCGCTCCCAGGAAAGAGACGTCACTGTCAGGAGCTCAGCAGGACTTTCCTGGAGGCCTGAGGGCCCTCAGACAGTGTGAACCCCGGCATCCACAAGCCTTTGCCCACTGAGAGGCCAGCGTGCCATCCGTAGGAGGTGCCCACTTCAGCTTTCAACGGTACCTTGGGGGCCCCGGCTTCACTGTAAAAGGGGCACTCAGACCCCCCCGTGTCTGCACACAAAGGGGTCATGAACCCACTAAGACAACGTGTGCGACACCACCCTGACAAGAAGCCAGCAATCCTGGTTACGCACCAGCACCAAGGGTTTAATACTCACAACGGGGCCATTATTTGCTGCTGGGGGTTCTGAACCACCCGTCGTACCCGCGTGACTGTCCCATCCGGCAGCATGGCACAGCCC